GCAGAAGTTCCAAAGAAACCGGTACCGGGACAAATCGCGACACCACCAACGCCAGGGGACCTAAAGAGAAAGTTACTGACGCGAGTTTACCAGCCAAGCAGCTCCAAAGGCACCAGGGGAGCTTTCCATAGCACCATGGGAAAGAAGTCACGATTCCAAAATTTGGAATTCACGGAGGATTCAGACTCGGACGCGGAGGATCATTTGCCACTAATCACGTCGAAGCAAGCAAAACAGACAAGTGGGGGAACAAACGTTGAGGAAGAGGGACAAGGAACGTCTGGCGGGGGACAGGATCAAATACAACCTGAAATCATAAAGACTCGACCTAGTAATTACGAGACAGCGACAGACTACACAATCGCACGCGAGCAGGAATTCGCAATGAACCAAAGGAAGGGAGATACCGGAGGAATCACACAACAGGAGACGGAACTCGAGGCGGAGCAAATTCAAGAAATTCCAGAAACCAAAGAGAAAAAGCGGGGTCGGAAACAACGACTTGTTTCCTACTCAAGTCAGGATTCAGCTAGTTCACTGGATGAAACTAGTTCTAGACGATCGGGAAGAAAACGAACCGCAGTGACTAAGATGGGGGCAGTCATGATCGATAACATCCAAAAGACGGATAAGTCAGGAGCCAAATGAAAAGGAGGAGAAAAAGAAGTTTGAGTAACAAACTTATATAAACAATTTACAAAACTGTTCATATGTAGGTCCAGGGAGAGGGCATGCTGTGAAACGGCAAAAACTCAAAAGTTTGTGTTTTAAAGGTGTTGTGGTTGATTGGCAAAACTTGTTATTAACCCTATTGATTACTGTTAACATCGATGCATTGGATACGTGACTAGAGTCATCAATTTTTACAAGGAGGGAAATGTCATAGTATCTAAATTTAGTTCAAGTTCCATTTCTAGTTGTGCTACTTAATTTATTTATCTGTCTGGCGCTAACTGATAATTAACCTTCGGAGTTTGTCTGTCACCTTCGGATGACAGCTATTTTATTGTCTCCGACTAACTTTCTAAACTACGGATACTTACTCAAAAGGATTAAAATTAACACATCGAAACCGTCTTTTCTCATCGGGTCTTATCGGGTTTTCACGGAATTTTATGGAAGAAGTTACTATAGTGCTGAATTAAAACAACCGGATAAAATGATTTGAAAAGATTTTTTTGAACTTGTTTTTCTCAGTTTCAGTGGCATTTGGCCAAAAAAACTATCAGGACAAGAATTGCTAGGAACTTTACCAGCTTTTTTATGATGTAATTTTTATTGCGAAAGTTCCAACCAAATTATTTCCTTAAAACGGGTCATTTCACTTTGTTCGAAATTGAGGAGGTAGTACACAGGGTAAGTTGATTCTTAGATCAAATGACCCTGTGTACCTCCTCAATTTTGAACAAAATGAAATGACCCGTTGTAAGGGACTAATTTTGGTTCAAAATTTTGCAATAAAAGTTGCATCATATTAAAGCTGGTAAAATTATAGCAATTCTTGTCCTGATAGTTTTTTCGGCCAAATGCTACTGAAAATGAGAAAAACGATATTTTTGAGAAGAACGTTTTTGAGAAGAAAATGAGAAGAACATCTTTTTTTGTTCATTTTATCCGGCTGTTTTAATTCAGCACTATAGTAGCTTGATCAGCACAAAATTCCGTGAAAACTCGATTAACCGCAAAAAAACGTTTGAACAAGTGGTTGAAATATAAGTTGCACAAAATGGCTATGTTTTACCCAGGTTTTCCCGAAAAAGCTTTTTCTTGTAGGGTGGTTCATCGTGAAACTAAATGGTGTATTACTTATTACAACTATCTGAAACACCCTGTAAAAAATTTTTTTTTCAACGGCAGTGAGCATTATTATACAATTATTATAGAACAAGTGATATAAAGCTCGAAAAACCAAAAAAAGATGGTCAATTTTATTATCCAAAAGACAATTGCTGTGATGTTCTATCTCTGTTTTTTGAATTATCGGGTCTAATCTAACCTTCAATTATAATCCACTCTTTTGCAGTGAGCACAATTCAACTAAGTTTGTGAGAAATAACACGGTTTTGTTTGAAATGCTCGATTTTTTCTAATACTTTTAACCATTCGCGTAGATAGGCCAATAGACCATTTTGTTATGGATCACTCATCCATTAACAAATCCGGCATGGGTGATTGCAATCAATCTGTTGGTGCACTTCATAAAATTTTTGATGTCGCCATTTTAAAAAAAGTCATAAAACACCTAGAATTTAAGTTATTATAGATAAATTTCTGGCAAAGCATGTGTCATTACCATGGTTTTGAGTCATAGTATGCAACTGTATAGCCAGTTTTTTTGATAAAATTTGGATTTAACTGCCGGACTGGGCAATGGCTAATTGTTTAACGTAATACTTGATTAAGCTGGTCGGTTTTTAGTAGTCAACGAACGTAGTGAAGGCATGTATACATGTTGCGTTAATTTTTTTCTTGGTTTTCCCAAAAATTGATCAATGTTTTTCTTTGCGTGGTTTGACTTTTTGTTCTGACTTTTGAAGATGTTTTTTGATGTTTCAGCTAACGATTTTTGCGGCAAAGGCTCATATAACAGTAAAAACAGTTGTTTTCCGGAGTTCAATCGTTTTGCAAGAACTTTTTCTGTTTTATTATGGGTTTTGAATTTAACTAACCAATATGGCAAATTTGGGATATTAGCGCACGATATGTAGCGTTCCTATAACATGCGTAAGCTCCGAATAAAATCATTCCGAACCAATTTGACGTGTATCATTTAGTCCAATGGTTAAGAGAGACTGAACACGTTCCTTTGTACTTTTAATAGCGTGTAGAGGAATTGAAAGCCGAAAAATTTAAAAAGTTTCCCCTTTTTCACAATACTTCCATCAATAATTTTTAAAAAAAGCTTTAAAATGCATTGGGAACATTCAGAATTTTACTCTGATGTACGAGCAGTCTGTTGTTTTTGAAACTCAGAAATTCAAATGAACTTGCTCAAGCGAAGGCAAGTTAGGCTTTCGAATTACCCAAAAAAAATGATGCAGAAAACCCTGAATTGCGGGTTACTTCAAAATTAAATTATATGATTAGATTTTCCAGTTAAAAAAATCATATTGTTGATTTTCTGTCAAATTGAGAAAACGTTTTACGCAAATGGTGCAATCAAAAAAGCTTTTTTGTGGTAACTATTCTTTGGTCCATTTTTTCTGAAAGTATGAAGAACTGTATAATCAAGTTCTTCAAAACTTTTCAAAGTTGATATTGATAAAATTTTCCAAAAAAGGACAGTTTTGATTTGTTATTCTACCGTTTTAAACAAATTTAAAAAAAAAACAAGAGAAATATCATAACCAAGAGCTCAAAAATCAATCAAAATTAGTCTTTTATTATTTTGGGAAACCTTGGTTTAAAAGCTAACTCAGCATAATCCTTTCTCTCCAAATTCTCTTGTTTTTGTTGAAGCGTAGCAAGATAACACTCATTCGTCTTTTTAAAAAACAAAATTTTAAATTTTTCCTTTTGAATTTTCGCATCCTTAGTGATTAAAAATAGAGACTAGAGATGTAAAAACACCTTTTGCAGCTTACACTATATTTATATTGTACAACAGTGTGAAAGCTTAGTATTTCTCAATTTTTTTTGACCAGATATACATGAGGCATTTGAAATTTTTGTCGATTTATTTCAGGTTTCTCCTTGCTGGTTGCGTTTCTTAACACCAACGCAATTTTTAGTTATATTGGAGCTAAAGACTCTTTAGCTTTAAGCTTTTATGACAAGAATGTGTTCGATTGTTCTTGGTTTCGATAGCTAAAATTTTTCTATTTTTATACAATGTTTCTTTCGCTTGTGTTTTTTGTTACTTCTATTTTTATACAATTACACTTTCTTTTGTTGTTGCTTTCTTATGTTTTTTTTGCCTCTGGAATGGGTAGCATCAGGTTTTCTGACGCGGTCTGTTTCAGAAGTTTTTCCCTTGTATGCTTTTTTGTCTTTTTTGTTTCAAAGTTTTTCTTGATAAGAAGAAAGTGACGGAATAATTGCGCTCGCGTGTTTTTTTCCAGTAAAGTTTCGACTTTATAACAAAACTTTTTGACGGGACTTTCTTATATCATCGAAACTTTATTCGGGAAAAAAATTTACTCGAGCTCAATTTTTCCGTCACTTGATTCTGAACAAAAAAATTTGGAGTTTTAATGAAAGTTTTCATAAAACTGCTAGTTTTGCCAAAGTGAGATAAACAACGCGCAACATATGTTGTGCTATTAACCCGTAAAGTTGTATTGAAACGTATGGATGGATGATTTTTAAAAATACCTTTTCTGAAAACTTTCGTATGGACAGATAATTTTTTTAAAAATTCATTTGTGAAAGCGTTCTCATATATATTTAGTCGAATTCAATTCAATTCCTTATACGTTAAAGGGCAGTCACAGTTTTCAAGGCGTTGCCTTGATACGAGCAGCTTATTTTAGTTTTTAGTTTCATCTTCTGAGCACGTGTATATAAAAAATCAAAGTTTATTTCCAATTTTACTATATTTTAAAGTTTACCATTGATTCAAAAGGCTTGTACAGCAATTGTTCCATTTTCAATTTTAAGCTTAAACTTGAAAACTTAATTCAAATTTTTTCTTTTTTTTCGTGTTTCTTCCCAAATTAAACTTTTTCATATCAAATATGCTGCTGAAATGTCATTAGTGTCATCTTTAGAATGTTAAACGTGATTTGTGGAACAGTTAACATGATTTGTGGAATATTTAACACTTTTTCGGATTTTTATTGCAAGGACAACATTTCTCTACACTGAAAGAATTGTTTATTTTCTTTTTATAATTTGAAGCAGGACCGAAAGGTTTTTTTATATGGAATCACACTCGACCCCATACGAGTTTTATTCTAGGTAGTCAAAATTGACTGGAAAAAAACCGACCTGAATCCCTCATTCCTTCCCAGTCTTCGAGAGTTGTTGGAACAATAATATTTGTGGGTGTTGTTGTTTAGGTTGTGTGAAGGGTACTGAGGCCGAGAGGAATTTGATTGCATATCTGTTTGAGAACTACACGAAAGAGGTGAGACCGGTAGACAAACACAACGAGACACTCTGCCTCGAGTTCGGCATCGCCATCTCACAACTGCACGAAGTGGTAAGACGACTAACACTATAATTGTAGCGCTTAAAACAATAAAAAGACCGTCATTTATATATGTCACCATACTACTAGATGCCATGGTATAGATCCAGAAGGTCATTTTGTTCGAGTACAGTCGAAGCATACTTTTCGACAAAACATAAGCGTCATCTATTGACCGTGGTCAAACTCTAATTCATTAAAAATCTGAGTGATTTCGTTCCGAGTGAAAAAAACCCTATTTGTTAAAATTTGACGAATACATTTTTGCAGACCAAATCATAATCAATTAATAACTGATTCGGATAAAGATAATATTTGTTGTGTGTTACGGAGTTGTCGTATTGCTGATCAGATTACAGCGGAGTCGATTTTGTAACGATATCTACCGAAAGGCGGGCGCAAAATTTGATACATCTCTAATTTTTTGATAGAAACGATGGAAAAATAGAATATGTCAGTAAAAATGCTTAAGCCTCACAATGTCTCGACCTTAACAGCTGTGAAAAGTTAAAATCTGTTAGACGCTCTGTACCTTTACTATTTTTTTATTCTACCTGATTTATATTGTTGTTCGGAGCTTCAAGTGATGTAAAAAAAACTGTGATCAATTTTTGCGAAATAATGGAAATTTGAAAATTGTTTATTTTGCGTTCATATAACACGCGTAAGCGAAGCAAAATATTTGGTCAAATTTTGGGATAGGAGAACTTAACTGCGTCAATTTATACTTTACGTAGCGTGTGGAGGCATAAACAATAAAAAAATTTAAATGTTTTTGCTAGTTTTTTTCTTAAGCTGGTGCTTAGGTTCAATAAAAAAATTCAGAGCTTTGCCTTCATATAAAGGAGGGTTGTTTGCTTGAAAACTAACAACTAGTTGTTCTCGTTTTCATAGTTATAGTACAGAAATGGTTTCAGCGATCCGTTGATTTTTCTCTTGATCATGTTGGGAAGTTTCGAGCTGTCTGGAATCAATTTCGAGACATTACATACAAAAGAAGTCAAAAATTCAAAAATAACTCCCTGCATCCAGTTTCAAGCGTTAATATTTTATTATATTATGGTTTTATCACCAGACTCTTTAAAGTTAAAAAACAAGACTGCTCGTATCAGGGCAAAACCTTGAGTGTCCTCACTGCCCTTTAAGTGGTCTTGAATAGTATTTGCCAATTGAAACAATGACAAACTATAAACTCAGGCAGATAATATCAAAGTTTGAGTTTTTCTTCGGCTCTTGTAGATCCATGGATCGATCCCACGAGTGAGCAACTATTCTTTTGGAAACAAGCATATATATATATATTTCACATTCTTCAAAAATCAGAACTCAAACTCTTTCATAATCAGTTAAAAATTGATTACAATCTCTCGTTTTCATTAACAAGTTATAACAAATATAGATTATTTAAAAATTTAGTTTTGATTATTTTTTTAATTACTTTTTTGGCACAAATATGATTGATTCTATTTGGTAACTTTTACCCGTTAATCCCTTTTTTGACTTTCAAAAATAGATGAAAATTTTTGCGCGGCATGGTTTCTGCCGTGATGATTTTTTTACGCCATCCGCGTGATCCCACGTGTTGTTGCCGCATAATAAATTATCTGATTTTTCTTCAGATTTGCTTACCCGATAGTTTCAGTTTCAAACCCAGTTTTTCAAGGTAGTGTAGGCAGGAGTTTTGATCATGTTAAGTATAAATCAATCGAAAATGCGAGGAGTATATAACCAGCCGAAAAATTACATAATATAAAAGAAGTTTGTAAAACTTTTAGAACCAGTCTTACAAAAAATGAGACAAAAAGTTGATTTAAATCTGTTAATAATCTAATATAACCTCTCTTTTCGAAATCGAATATAGTCAATTTTAACACATAATAATCGATGACAATCGAATATTTTTTATCTGAATTTCTAATTAACTTGTTTTGCTTAAAATACAGCAAAAGAAAAACACCATTGTAATCGATTATAGTTGGTTATATTCCCTTTTAGTTGCCCATTTTGTCTTCGAACTTCCACCTGAATTGCTTATATTTTATGCTTTTTGTAGACGTTAGTTTATGTGAAAAAAAGAGGCCAACAATTTTCAAATCAATTCAAATTTACAACGTTTTTTTTTTCATTTCTTCTGATTATAGTTCTTTCATGATGAACATTCGATACTTTTTGATCACCAAAGTATCAGCACACTGATTTAGTTTCATGATTTATACAGAAGAGTTATAATTCACCTACTGCGGGATTCTTTCAAGTAAAACGAAGGGATTTCTATGAAACTTATGATTCGTGGTAAAACTTTGTGCTTAGGTGAACCAAAGAGTGACAAGACATCCCACTTTTAGAGATTTTTCTTAGAAAAAAGGATTATAATCTAGTATACTGGATTGTAACAGATTATACTAAATTATAAGAGATTATAAGAGACTCTAAGAGATTTTCGAAAAAATTATAATCAATTATAATTGATAATAAATGATTATAATTTCGCGAAAATTTTTATCATTATAATGGATTATAAATCGTTTAAACGTCCAATTTTGGCGCTTATAATTAATTATAGTTTTGATAAAAGTACAGTTATAATTGTAACATAATTGGTTATTTTCTCTTTATACTAAGTACGGGCAAATCAAACAAAGTGACTCTTCACATGCGCCCCACAGTTTTAAAATGAATGTTTTAGCTCAGAAACAATTGTTTCTATAAATCTTTGGTTCTGCAATTGATGAAACTATTTCTTTGTTTGGTTTACTTATCTGGTAGCTTTCTGACACTTCGCGGTTTACGTAGCGCCACCCCTGTAAAACATCAAGTTATATGTCTCAATAGTAAAGTGCTGATATATAAATGTCATCTCGACATTTTTCGGCTCCACCTCCGACGTTGCCTTGACGGGAATTTACGACATTCTTATCTCCACGTTAAGTTTAACTTCTTAAGTTCTTGGAAAATTTCCGTCGAAACACTTCAAGCGGAACTTTTCACCAGCGGGACATTTTTTTGTTAATTTTGTTTTTGCTTCGTAATGTTAAACTTATATATTTAGGTGTATCAAATCTTTTGTGATCCTTTTTTGTCATTTTGAACATTATAGAATACCTTGATTAGAGTAGCTTGGACTCAGTTGTATTTAATTCCCTGATTGTTTTTTCGCTGAACAGCGTTTGACAAACAACTAAATATGGTTTTGACAAAAAGAGTGCTTGACTGATTATTGTAATCAGTTCAATAAATCATGCCTCACTGAGTAATAATTTTTGGCATATTATTTGTCGAACATGTTTGTAGTTGAATGTACTTGAGCGCTTGAAAATAACAAAAAGCTTTATGATTGGATTTTTCTGAATTTCACGCCTCAATAGACCATTAAAAGCGACTGTTTTCAGCAAGCAGATATACCTGCTATAGAACTATAAGAATTTCTGGCAGCCAACTCCAATTGTACTATCTATATAATGCTTGACTAATATGATTTTTTTGCATTGGATTCAATTTGCGTTTGAGATGGTGTCCGTTTTAGGATTTGCTATAAAAAGCACTAAAAGCGATTAAAAAGGGAATCCATTTTAATTTCTTTGTTGCCACTTTTCAGCTCTCAACTGACGTAAATGACATCTGTCATGTACCTCATTTTTGGAGTCTTAGGTTGCCAAATAAAAATAGCTCTTATTCTCAAAGAGAAAATGTTCCGTTTTAGTTTCACTTTTCTTAGACCAATCGCTTTTTAGTTGGTCAGTTGTTCCATACAACACATTTTGCGTGCCTCTACCGACAACAATTGCGGCCGATATTGAATTATTGACTTTCTTTTCCCTCTGTGATTTTTCTGACCGGATTAGTAATCAGTCCCTCCCTACCTATGTCCTGTTGCTCCCGTCCGTTCACCCAAAATATCGCAAATCCCAATAAAGCCAGATTTTTCATTTCACGTTCCACACCGCCCCGTGGTTTATCACGGGCGGAACAATTTGGGCACAGGTGTTGCGCTCACATAGACGAAACAGCCAAGAGCAAAGCTGAAACAATAGGAATTGATTAAACTGTTAAATCGAATTTGATGCATCATCAAGTTTATCCAAACACAAACCTCATACAGTTTTTTTACTTTAAGCCAAAGGGTTTGATCTTTTTGATCCAAAATAATTACTAATAGTGTTTTAATTACTAATTGGTATGAAAAAATAAAAAGCATGCTTGCAATTTTTTTCTCAGATTGTAAAAACTATGTTTGAAACTAATAGTTATCTTTTGTTGCAATTTTTTCGGTATATTTGGCCTAATTGTGTGCTTCGAATAACTGGCCAGTCTGTCGATTGCACTATATCAGAACAGAAAGAACTGTAGATAGATAATCTGAAGTAAAAGTATATGAGCCGGACAGCCAGTGTTTTGAAAACACTTCAACCGTCTGTTTTCACTATTTTCTTCGGCCCCGCTATTTCTAACGCCCTACAGAAATGCTTGAAAAGTATGTTGTGATTCAAGAAGGTTGGCTTTCAACTGAGCAGCTGAATAAACACCGCATTTTTTTTATCACAGCGCAAAGTTTTCTTTTCAGAACTGCATTTCGGATCTCCAGTCAAATGCTATTTAACTTGAGTTGACCGGCTCCGAAATATTTTGGAAGCACACTGGTGTTCAGAAAAGCACTCGGGTCGAAGTTGTGGTTTTATGATTAGACGGTCGCAACCAAATTTTGGTATTTTTAGACTGCCGCGACCAAAATTGAATATTTTCAGACAGCCGCGACCAAAATTTGGTATTTCCATATTTTGCGGACCTATGCATTTTGTCCACGTACCGGCGCGACCAAAGGATAGTTAACCACGAGCGGCGCGACCGATGGAAAGATAACCGCGATCGGCGCGACTGAAGGAAAGTTAGTCGCGGCGGTCAAAAATTAGTCGCGGTGTTCGAAAAATTATTCGTTCGCGGCGGTCAAAAAATTAGTCGTGACGGTCGAAAAACTAGTCGTGGTGGTCAAAAAACTAGTCGCGGCGATAAAAAAA